TGCGAATGTCGAGGGGGGGGGGGGGGGGGGGGGGGGGGGGGGGGGGGGGGGGGGGGGAAGCAGGCGGGGGGGGGGGGGGGGGGGGGGGGATTCAAAAACGCTTATCTTCAAGGAGGAATGAAGACAAATGTTTATCGAGCACTGTCGCTGTCTGAAGGACATTTCAAGATTAAAGTCCAGCCTCTTACTTGTATGTCTTAGATCGGTCTAACCAGATCCCACAGATGAGAGATCCCACCATGCCAGCGATCACGATGGTGAGGCCGATCCTGCCGGCGTTCACCTCCTCTCCCTGTTCAAAGCAGAGCAAATTTTCACATGCATTCTGTTTTACCAAAAATGTATTAAGATCAGTTTTCTGGATAAACAAATAATATAAGTAATGAAACCCACCAATAATGCTAATTAAAAAGTAACTGAAGTGATTTCAGTGATTTATGTAAGCTGCATGTAGGTCAGGGGCTTTCGTGATTGGCTGGATAGGAGGTGGGTGGGAGGGACTTACAGGATAGTGTTCAATGATCATTCGGTTGAGAAGCGTACTGACAGCGTAGAAACAGCCAACATTCAGCCCTGAAGAAGAAAGACGGATGAAGTCAAAACCAGAAACAGGCTGAAAGCATAAACTTGAAATTTAAAAAAGTAGCCTGGCATACAGCTGATATGGTGTCGTGTGTATCTAGTAAGCAGTAAATGTCTTCACATTTCTGAAGCAGCTGTAAAGATATAAAGAGCTCTGCATTCCTGCAGGATTATTTCTGTCAATGTTCAGCCAGGTTAAATGCAGCTACAGGCTTCTCATGCAAGTGTTGCACAGGTGTGTGTGTGTGTGTGGATAGATCATAAACTTTTACTGTTAATGTAGTTCATGCCAGTCAAGTTATGACTATTTCTGTTTAGTACTTGTTTTATATTTTTTTCAGATGAAAAAGTCATTTTCCATTTACTTGCACAATCTTGCAAATGAAATTACATTAAATTAATCTTCATGCCATCACAAGCTAGTCATATCTAATACATAAATAAATATATATACTAACATTTAAATCTTAATGTTTTTGAAATAAGTCTCTTATGCTCTCATAGGCTGCATTTATTTGATCAAAAATACAGTAAAAACAGCAGTATTGTAAAATAATAAAATATCTGTTTTCTATTTAAATATATTTTAAAATGTAATTTATTGCAGTGATGCTAAGCTGAATTTTCAGCATCATTATTCCAGTATTCAGTGTCACATGATCCTTCAGAAATAATTCTAATATGCTGATTTGCTGCTCAAAAAAAAAGTCTTATTATTAATGTTGAAAACAGTTGTGCTGCTTTTTCAGGATTGTTTGATGAATAGAAAGTTCACAAGAACAGAATTTATTTGAAATAGAAATGTTTTGTAACATTAAATGTCTTTACTGTTGCTTTTGATCAATTTAATGCATCCATGTGTTTTGTGTGTTTATATGTGAGTGTGTGAGCGTGACCGTTTTTATAGGCACAATGTGACTATGACTGTTACAGCACATGTGTGATCAGAGTAATCATTTATGTCTGTAGCAGGATAAGTTATGTTCTGAAGTTTAAAAAAGACTATAGAACTATTCATGCTAATGTTTCAGTAACAAACTACCACTGTGTGTTTAAATGGCAAACAAGCATAATGAACCCCAGTTTGAGGTCCTGAATGGATCTGTTGTGTGCAGAGTAAGACATTTACCGTAAGTGATGACGAGAAGGATGAAGGCTTTGTTGCGAAGCAGCCTGAGGATGGATGCTGGATATGAATAGTTCTCTGGAGAGATCTGCCGAGCCGCGGCCTGAGCGTGGGTGGGAGGGATCTCGGGACGCTCCTGAAACACTGACGAGAACATAAAAACACAAACTAATCCGGTCACCAGTCACATACATCACAGACAACTCTTCATTTACATATCGTCAACTGTCGGGCGGAAGCCTCATATATCCATATTTTGACATTTTTATTTTATTTTTTCATAAATCAATGCTATCATTCTTTAAGTCTGGATGTGGGTTTTCCAAATATTGAACGAATGAAAAGTATTAAAAAGACCATGTGACTGAACCTCAGAACACTGTCATCAAAAACTCATAGAATGAATTACCGCACCCTGTTTTCAGTTCTCTGCTATTTTGCGATGCAAGGGTAAATAAAGAACTGGTTGTTTGAATTACTAGAGCATCTTCTTTACACAAGAAACACGGTCTATAAAGTCTAATGCTTTGCGTATTTAGGGAGCAGAGAAGAGTGTCTTAGTCTTGTCATAGCCGGTGCGGTCTTAAATAGCCTTTGCTTAGCATTTCATCTTTTATAATATTAGATTTTAACAAAATTTACTGAAAGACAGAAAAAGCTGAGCACCCACATAGCTACAATATATTGGGAGACTGAAATAAGTTGAAGTACTAAAATGACTAAAAATGAAATAAAATTAAATTAAAGCTAAACAGAAATATATATTAAAAACGAATAAAAAGATATGGATAAGAATATTACACAAAATGCAAATAACAAACCGATTAAACGATAAGTTAAAATTAAAATGAAACATCACATGTATATTTCATTAAGCCAGTCCTAGAATGCACTGTGAAAAAAAATTAAAATAATCATCATCCAAGCTGGTGAGGTTTTGGCACAAACCTAATGTTTAATAAATGTAAACAGTTTAAAATAAAAGGCATTTGAAATAATATAAAATAATATATATATATATATATATATACATACAGTATGTATATATATATATAAAGTCATATTATAAAATAAAAAGTCAATTATGTCTGTGTGTTAAATACAAGAGGTACATTTGGGTGGAAATCTTCTTAAATCCAATGTTTTGACATCTGTGAATGTTTGTGTTTGAGTAAAAATTTAGCCTGTCCCCAAAACAGCAGGTGACTGAACTCTATTTTAATTGCTCTATCAAACACACTAGATATGAAAAACTCTTCAGCAGAATTTAAATTGCAGAGCTATTAGACAGAAACACTAGAATCTTCTGTTCTTGTTCTTTACTATACTTACATAACAGAGCAGGTAAAAAAAAAAAAAGCAGGTAAAAAAAGAAAGTGCATACATTTTTGGGCAAACTGTCCCTTTAACTCTTTAAAACATCTGGTGATTTTCTTCTTTAATTGTCTAGACATCGTTTTTGCTTGTGAGAACAGAACTGAATTCACGTGAGTGCAGCTCAGAATGTGACAGGATTTTTTTGTGGCTTTGTCAAGATAAAAATGGGCGGCTCAGCATTTAAACAAAAAGCATATAGAGTAAAGAGAGAGAGCAAAATAGGTTGAAACTGAAAGAAATCTAATTTCCCCTTCTCTCATTTGGGCTAAAGGTCAGATAGGCAAGGCAAGGCAAGGCAAGGCAAGGCAAGGCAAGTTCGATCCTTTGTAGAAGTTTGCAGTAGTTCATGCAGCAAGTAGATTCAACAGGAGGCATTTTCTTTCTCTTCTGTTTGAATGTGGGCAGCTGTGTTTTCCCTTCTCCGGAATGTAAGCTGCTGGCAGTGGGAGGCAAAAGTTTTCTTTTTCGTGGTATTATTCCAGTCCCAGAGAGTTTTTTGTTTTAGTGTTTGTGCCAAAAATATGTTGTTTGAGCACTGTGCTGATCTGCTGAAGTAAAAATCTTAGAAAAATCAAAGAAAAGTACAGAAATAGGGAGCAAAGCGCAGAGCAGTAAGCAAGAACGTCCGAACGGTAGCGAAGCCGGAAGCGAAGCATCCGGAAAGATAATATGAAAGATAATCATCAGCACTGACATACTCCATTTGTACTCGTAAAAGCAGACTAACAAAATAACGGGCATTGTGTGCCAACAAACAATCATTTATATGCTATTATGTCTATAAAATATATGTACAAAATTTGTCTGTGTACATGCAGGAAGAAGAACAGGGTAAGACTCAACAAAAAGAAGAACAGACAGGCACTAGAAGATATTAACACACTAAAGTGAGTGATCTCGCTTCATGCTGCCTACATGGACAGCTGCCTTCTAAGACAGCATCCTAATCTTCATTGAACCTCTTAAATGACAGAAACTCTCTACATAGGCAGCAACTCCTCATGCCACAAAAAAAGACTCACAATCGATTTGATTTAAGCATGCTGCCAAGATAGCAAGATAAACTGTTATCTCTGTGAAAGACATGCAATAATTTGGATAAAGGAAGATATCACATATAAGGCATCTTAATTATGTTGCATCTTTTCATATGAACTTTGGAATGACATAGTATAACTGACGTTTGCTCTTACCAATGACAACCAATACAAACAGGAAGGTGGCCACTCCCGTCGTGATGTAGAACATGACTCTGATGTGAGCCGCCAACTCGTCCAGATCGTCCACATTTGGAACCAGTATTGGTGGAACTAGGAAGCCTATGGCAATCCCCAACTGAAAAAAAAAAATTGTGATGTTTCAATCCACTGCCTAGTTTTCTATGTTTTGAATCAGCACACCATGAATATAAATTTGGGAACAAGCAAGGGCCTGTTCCACTTATTACTGGGATTCTGAAGACTCATAACTGTCATGCAATTATGTGGTTGCACATGGTATTTACTAACAACACTTTAATCCTGTGCTCATCCTCCATTTGTCAATCTGGGTTCCAGGGACCAATTTAAAAGTTCAGAGAACAATAGAGTAATAATCCACATCTAGGGGGTGGAGATTGGTAGGTTTAGGGGTGGAGATGGGTGGGTTTAGGTATACTTAAGGGAGTTGGATCTGGATCTGGCCCCCTGGATCTTGTGTTCTGCAGTGAGGACCATCTCAAACATTGGCTCAAAGAATGAAGAGCGATTGTGGGCGAGACTATCTGTTTGCTGACCATTAGCAAATGGGGCATGTGCAAGATACCTGTGTGGAAACAGTCATTGTTTTGTTTAATGGTGCCAGTGGAGCGAACATAAGGCTACACACTTCAGTTTTAACGTTCACAGTACAGTACAGTTAAATGAGCAAAGCTATTATTATTATTTTTTACTGAAACCCACCTGATTTCCGAAGACCCCGATGGAGCATGCAGTGGACACTTCTTCCGATCCGAACCACACCGACGCGATGCGCGAGGGCATCCCGAGGATAAACACCTGAGCCACTGAGCACGTGAACTGACCCAAAAATGTAACCGGAAAAAGGTCCGGTCTCGCGCTGGCCACCTTGATCCACGTGCCCGTGCAATTCAGAGCCGCCGCCACGAGCGCGATGACCCTCAGCCCTTTTTTATCCAAGAGCCACGAGACGGGGAAAATGAGCGGAATGTACGTCAACATGTAAATCATGGACATCCAGTCAATGGTGAAAGAGTCCACGCCGTAGAAGCGCATGAAGATATTGTTGATGATTCCGTATTGAATCCATTGATAGGAGTTACACAGCGAATAGGAGCTGAATAATAACACTATGACCCATCTCTTTTTATATAAACGCGTTTCCGGCGGTGCGCTTCGATGTTCAAAAGTCACCTCAGCGTCAGTCTTGGCTGTTTTTGAGAAATATTTATTATCATTCACCTCTCCGTCCACTGGCTTTGATTCATCACCCATTTTCACTCGATTCAGCCGCGTTCAGGATTTTTCCGAGACTAAAAGATTCATTCATTCATGTTGAGGAGACGCCGGGCAGTCTACTGGAACACACTGTAGTAACTTACTTACTCACTCTACATGACAGATTAATGACATATTACCTGAGTTTAAATGCTAGTGGATAAACCTCCCATATTATTACATCGATGTATGTTCATCCTCTGCTCGGATTTAATACAGTCTCCGGTTTCCGCAGCAGAAACTCTTTAAACATTCGTTGAAAGTTTCGCCACCGTGATGAAGTTCCTTGACGTAATTTAACTAACTAGAAGAGAAATTATAAACAAACCTCGGGCAAAATGGGCGGGGCTTCACTGTAAGGCGGCTGTCAGTCATGTGACATTCCTGAGCAAGTAGAACAAGGTACATTGTAAATCTAACAGAAAACGTTTCAAAACAAACTTAAAGAATTACAGAAATAAGTAGCTATATATAAACACGGGGGTGTGGTTTGGTCAAGTAATTTTGGAAGGACCATAAACTTGAAATGGTCATTTCCAGTTTGGAACTCTTTACTTCCGTAAATACTTAACACACTTTTCTTTAAGATTTTCCGATTGGGGACATGTCAATTAAATAATTATTGACGTATTTTGTGTAATGTTAATGAAGAACAAAGCATACTCGCTATTTATTTACCTGGTTTATGAGGGGACAATCGTACGTCGAAACTACATTTCCCATGATTCTCGAGAATCATGGGAAATGTAGTTTCGACGTACGATTGTAGGAGCCTAGCGCAGATCTGTAGTAGCGCAAAATAATAAAATACACAGATGACGCCAAATATGAGCGCACATCACAATGGGCATGAAAGTACTTATTAGCGCAGCAAATATAAGTGAAATATAATGTTCATAACAGGAACTCTGATCATCTGCACTGTTTTGTAGCGATGAGCAGCAGTCGGGTCACGGTCACGTCGTATCTGTTGTTTTTCTCAGCACTGTCGGGATGGAACGGGACGTTTGTGATAACAGAGCACATCAATTTACTGAATTATATTACAGAGATGCTTGGAGTGGATTTCACCTTTTCCAGAAGTCCAACATGACTCAATGAGCCAAGACAAATAAAGAGGCATCACAAAAACTCCAACCAGGAGATCGGACACAGCCAAAGAGAGGATGAGGATGTTAGCAGGTGTGTGGAGCTGCTTGAAGTGGCTAACAGAGATGATGACCAGCAGGTTTCCACACACGGTCAGCAGAGACACAGCTGCTGCGGCCACATACAGAATCACATAGACAAATAAAGAAACAGATCTCCCTGGACACCAATATTCCTGACAGACATCAGTTTGGTTCACTGCTGTAAGATTCATTGTGGAGCATTTGGAAGAATCATCCAAACGGAGTATCGTTCCATGTGACTCCTGTTATATAAAGTGCAACATAGCCTATGCATAACCACAGATAAAGACCTCTGAAGATGCTGTTTCTATCTGCTCCACTGAAACACAATCTTCACTCCAGGAGGTTTCACAATAAAGACGAGCTTCAACGAGCTGCCTTTCATACACTTGACATGTTGACTCTTTTTAAGACTGGCAGCATCAAGGGAGAAGAACAAACAGCTGGGAGATCAGCTGATTTAGAAAAGTGTCACACAGAGCTCATACAAAAGCATTAGTGAATTTATATGAAATCAAAAACTAAAAGTAAAAAATTCTAGCCTATAAAATCCTTATGCATATATATATATATATATATATATATACATACTCATGTTAGAATATGCCTACTTCCTTTTGATCTATGAAAAATGATCTTTATACACTAACTTTAAAGTTGCTGTATGTAATTTGTTTTGACTGCACTAAAGCATAAAAATACCATCATATGTTCGCAGATATTTAGGAAACATGCTACATTCATATACTTGTTTCTCCGAAAATCAATGCTACAGTCAGTTATTCTACTTTGAAATGTGTGTTCCGTGACGGAATGTTTGTTTTTGTTTTGGTCTGTGTGATTCAGCTCAATAGTATTTCAGCATCCCATGTTGGCAGTTGGTGGAAAACACAGCGTAATGCAGCCCTGGAAGCCAGCAAATTAACTGGGTCAGAGATTGCAGATTTTATTCTACCTGACCTAAAAAGCCATCTAAAAAGCTGTGTGACCACAGAAATATTAAAACATGGATGAATCATCTCATCAATTTACAGTGTCAATTGTGCTCGTTCCTGTTGCGTGTCTTCAATCTGGCAACCCGCGTGAGTGTTGAGTCTGAGGAGGTAGGGGCTAGACTCTAGAGAAACAACTCTCCAATATTTTCAATTTGGGCCCCACTCATTTGAAATCCCCCTTCGGGGGCCCCCTGTAACGCCGGGCCCTTGGAATCGTCCTAACCTTCCCCCCCTACGGCGCCCCTGTATATCGTTATATCAACCAAGCTGTAGTTTTATATAAACTTTAAACTTATATAGTTTTTGTCAGTGTTTATTTAAAAACATCCAGTTACGCAGAATATAAGATGGTAAATATTTAATTGATTAGTTGTCAATACGATATACAATATGGTATGATATATTGGGTACTGTTCCCATTGACCTCCTTCATATAAAACGTGTGTAACCACAGATAAAGATGTCTGAAGAAGCTATTTGTATCTCCAGCAGCTCTGATCTGCTCATCATCTGAAACACAATCTATAGTCACTCCTGGAGGTTCCAAAATACGGGCTACAACTCACGCTGCCTTTTACAAGACATGTTGACTCTCTCCACTACCAGCAGCATCAAGGGAGAACATACAGCTGGGAGATCAACTGATTCTGTTCAGGTGAACAAAACAGCAAAAACACAGCACAGCAATAGGCCAGCTGTGTGTATCTGACTCTAAGTTGCATATTAGGTCTTATACGAGTTATTTACTAAAATGATGTTACGCATTGAAAATATACATACACATTGAAAACAGAAGTGAATAAAGAGAAAAGTTTCTAAACTTTAAATTAGTCTCATGCACTTATCACAAAAATATAAGGCGTTGGGAAGAAAACAGATTGAACAGACAGACAAGTGTAGGAGGTGAATGAATTTAATATTACCCTCTCCGTCACTCAAATGGGACTGTCTCGTGCTAAACTTTTCTTTCCTTTGAAACACTTCTGTTCTGTCCTTCTGCCACTTTACAATAGAAATTACTGCATCAGACGTTTGGTTGATCTCAGATAGACTTGGTGATTAGACAACATTGCTATCCCACTCAGATTAATGCTGTTTTGTTGAAATTATTTTGAAAATAACACAATGCAAGATGCCAAAAAATGTGGCCATTGGTTGAATTTGCATTAGGCCTATTCTTGCTATAGAAACTGGACTGACTGCTTTAGGTGTCCTGCACTCTGCCCAGGGTACAAAAATATAAGTACAACAAACATTATGAAAATAACCACAAAAATGCAATGGCTCTTACAGTATTCATTGTTTCTTAGTAATAATTGAATTAAATGACATGACAAAAAATGCAACTTTTTCTGTGTAAATAAGGACCATTATTATTTTTTTACACTTAGATTCCCTTTGGCTTGATTTGATTCACAAACATATGACTCTTATGAGTCGGCTCTTTTAATTAATTGGTCGATATGACCTGAGTTATCGGTTCGAATGATTCTAACAAGTGATTTTAAGAAATATTAAAGGCTCTGAATGTGTCAGAGCTTTTAAACATGATTATGTAGCTTAATTACTGAAATGAGCACATAGGCTAACAACATAGATACAGTACAACATTTAAACCTGTCCTTATCATAGGTTTTGCTATTTTATCATAGTATTAAAATAATGAATTACAGAGGAGAGACTGGAGCCTGTACACATGGGCTATATCTCAATCTCTGCAATAAATTAGGAAATATTCAATAGCTGTTTTGTAGTCAAGAAGACTCATGTTTAATATGATAAAATAATGTATATTAACCTAGACAATATATAAAAAAATAAACAACAGAAAAAATAGAGAGGAAGCATTGTGTCTTACATTCACTGAGTTACGTACATGGCATAAGAAACACAATCAGAAGATCAATGAGAGATGAAACTCCATCTATAATATAAACACATTTTCCTGGACACATGACATCAGTGAAGTTTCCATTAACAAAGAGAAGAATGAAGTTATAAATGAGTGAAAACAACAAGTTAAATAAAGTCGCTATGCAGATCACAGTGGGTGAGATTTTCTCTGAGTAAAAAAAGGGAGAACTTAAAGCCAAAAATCGATCAACTGCTATCAGAGCCACAGTGTGAACAGACACGCTTGTTGCTTGAAAATTCACAAATTTAAAAACCGAACACATCACTGGTCCAGAAGTCCAACATGACTCAATGAGCCAAGACAAATAAAGAGGCATCACAAAAACTCCAACCAGGAGATCGGACACAGCCAAAGAGAGGATGAGGATGTTAGCAGGTGTGTGGAGCTGCTTGAAGTGGCTAACAGAGATGATGACCAGCAGGTTTCCACACACGGTCAGCAGAGACACAGCTGCTGCGGCCACATACAGAATCACATAGACAAATAAAGAAACAGATCTCCCTGGACACCAATATTCCTGACAGACATCAGTTTGGTTCACTGCTGTTACGTTCATTGTAAAGTATTTGGAAGAATCATCCAAACAGAGTATCGTTCCATGTGACCCAAGTCATATGAAGTGCAATATAAAGACCTCTGAAGATGCTGTTTGATTGAAACACAATCTTCACTCCTGGAGGTTCCACAAAAAAGACGAGCTTTAACTCACGTTGCCTTTTATACACTTAACATGTTGACTCTTTCCAAGACCAGCAGCATCAAGGGAGAAAAACATACAGCTGGGAGATCAACTGATTTAGAAAAGTGTCACACAGAGCTCATACAAAAACATCTGAAATGTAAAAATCTGTAACATCTCATCATAAATGCTTATACATATAATCATCTCTGTTTTCAATGATCCCTTTGAATATACCCTGCAAACATGTCCTTGCGGGGCCCATGCTGGCTTTTTGCGGGCACAGTGGGCTAGGGCCAGCCCACACCAAACCTAAACATTCCCAGTGCAGGCTTGCCCAGGTGAGGCCCACAGCTTTGGGCTCACCGCAGCCTCTCTGGGAGCAGCCCACACTATGGGACTGCCCACATTAATCCAATGATGGCCCAGTATGGGCCAGACATGAGCCTGTTAATAAGAATTTTGTGGACAGTTTTCTTCCTTACCACTAGGGATGCTAGGGTGTTTTAGGTTTCCTTAAGTAAAGCCATGTGGTAGAGAGAGTTAGCAATAGCAAGCAGAAGTAAGTGAAAGTGAAGTGACATGTGGCCAAGTATGGTGACCCATACTCGGAAAAACGAGGCATTTGTTGTATCCAGTGGGGACATAATTACGGTTTATTATAATGACTTATACTGTCTTTTTACGCGTTGCATCGCGCCGCGTAAACGTAAAACCATGTCTGCATTTGTGATCGGAGAAATGATAAACAACAAGCACTACTCTGCACTGCTCGCTTTTGAATCGTCAGTGGCAAATTCTTTAAATATAAAAAACATACTTACAGTCTGTGAGTCAGAACAGCCTGCATTGTAGTCTACTCTTCCAGGATCAGGAAACAGTCCTCCATAAAATGCGCTGCACACATCTGGATATTTGAGTTGAACTGTTCTGGAACAGTGTTGTAAATACAACTTAACCACTGATTTCTAGTCGTGTCCTCTTTTGGAAGACCAAACAAAGTAGTTTCACAATGAAACACAGCGTCACACACGGCGGGCTAGAGTGAGTGGTGGCTGGCGGATTCGACAAAGGAGTGGCCGGCGGGCTTGCGGCAACCACATGTGACGACCCCGGGCTGGACTCCGCTTCGTCCACGGTGAAAGCCGATCCAGCGATCCACAGCGCGAAGTTGATGTATTTCCTCAGCGACCAGCACGAATCAGCTCCAGGCATGACGCCTCAGTCATGGTATTGAAGGTGGGAGAGAGCGCTGTACATTCACTCCCCCCACCTACAATCCCTGTCGCAACCTTTGGGTTACGAGTCCGACTCTCTAACCATTAGGCCACGACTTCCCCACGAGTATCATTTTAAGCCCAGTCTAAAGGAGTTTTTATGCACCAAGAGCTTGTAACACTCCAAAGAGAAAGGAAAAATTGAAATTGCATCATATGACCCCTTTAAGACAGTGTATTTGTATGCATTTTAGAAGGGACTCCTTATTGGTGAATTTATCACATCATGGACCAGTTTGAATATGGATTTAAAGTTCTTTTCGACTTGAGACCATAGTCTGGACTGTTTTTGATTGTTCCTGGTTAGGAAGAGTCTGGTTTTTGAGAGCTGTGGCGTGTTTTCATTACAAGAGGTTGGATTATTAATTTGCTATCAGCCAACTTCAGCTATGGACAGTGTTTGGACATTGATGTACTACAGATAAGACTTTTGCACACATCAACTTTCACATGACGAAATCCTACAATCTTACATTGCTTTGTTTGCTTTTTTTTTGTACTTGTGTATTTAAATTTGTGGCTATATGTAGCTGTATTAACCTGAATTGAATGTTTTCTATTTTGTATTTAATAAATCCATTGATTTGAAATCCCTTTGACTACTGTACATTTTTGACAATATAGACATTAGTTATGTGGTGACTGCATCCATTTCAGATGTATAATAACTTTTTTTCCCAAAGACTTAAGTTATAGTATCTGAAAAGTATTTAAAGTGAAACAGATGTATTGTTAGAGATCAGGGGTGCATCCTGTTTCTGGAGATTTACCTTCCTACAGAGTTCAGTTCCAACCCTGATTAAACAAACCTGTCTGTAATTATCAAGTGCTCCTTCAGATCCTAATTAGTTGGTTCAGGTGTGTTTGATCAGGACCAGGGTTGGGCACCCCTGTTGTGGATTAATAGTGTGGGCTAAGTGAGGACTCCCCGTGCAGGGCCAGCACTAAGGGGCCAACGTTTTGCCAATGAGCAAAATCTCAGAGGCCCTGTGCTG